AATTAAGATCAATTGCCAAACGAAATAAAGAAAACAATCGTTAATAAAAATTGTGTAAATTCACGAACACGAATGATCTTGTGCTTTTGCAATAACAATATTATTTTTCTAGATCCGCAATATAAAAAAAAAAATGTAACGACATTGTTGAGTTATTGTTAAAACAAAATGAATTTACAGCACTTTACTCCCATTGACAATTTCTACCTACTAATAATATACGGTTTGTTAGATTGTAACAAATTTATTATTCGATAATTTGTTGCAACGATCTCTGGATACCAATATACAGAACAATAATAGAAATTTTAATTCCTTGCCTCGACCACTTGTCACAACGCACATTTATTGTGCTATGGAAGCTATTGAAATTCCGGCTCATTTTAACAGTGGAATTTTCAATAATGGTTTCCATTCTGATTTCGAAATTATGACTCCGATTTTCTTGTAAATTGGACGACAAACCGAGATTTTTATCGACAGCCGAGACAAGAAATGTAACAATCCGACAAAAGATTTTCCATCGTTGTAAAAAGGACAAAAATTGACAATGGACAGAAGAAACTCTACAAAGCTCTGTAGAAGAATAACACAGAGCCACTATCATATAAAATAGTATTCTATTTGCATTTTTCACTTCCAATTATACTGTGCATCTCGTTCTCGATGATATCTCCATTTCTAAAAAACAAAACCGGGGATCTTTATATTGTTTCGTTATGCCAAAGCGTAAACACGTTTTCTTTTTTCGCATAATTACAGTTTTATATTTTTTCATCGATTGAGATGCCAGGACATAAAAAGAGAAAACGATCAAGATCTCGATCGCACAAAGATCATCGATCGAATCGTGGAAAAGATGAAAAATTCGATCAGTTACAAAAACAACCACCTTTATTCTTGGCAAAGCACTTTCACCAATATAAATAATTACACGTATGCGAGGAACTCCAAGTTAATCGTTCGACAACCCTTTGCAACCAATTTTCTATTTCTGCTTGAATTTCGAGTTAAACAACCTTAGCGACGTCGAGAAAGCATCGTTCGTCGAGAAAGGACACCTAAGAATAATTTATTCATACGTCTTTCGAATTGAATCTCTTCCACCCATGTTCGAACAATACAAACGTCGGGACGTTTTAAATAATTCTTTCGGTGTTTGTAGAAACACGATCCGTGGCGTGCGATGCATTCGCTTTTTATGCGATTACAATTGCTAACGAATGCTGTGAATAAATGCCGCGTGTCCTACGTTACTCTGAGCAAACGCAAACGCTCGTCCTGTTTACTCTGCGTATGGAACAGTTGCTAAATTACTGAAGGTACATTATCTTATTTTCTGTATTAAAACTTGATTTTTAAGACTCTTATTATTGCATGTTCAGCCTTATATCGAGATCAAATTTATTCGTTAGAATTCCTTTTGTACTATAGCGAAGAAGGTGTGATTTAAGTTGTCGGTTTCCTAAAGATCTATTTACACATATCCGTACCGTATCAGTTCCGTAATGTCCATCAGTGACAGTGATTTTAAATATTCTTCTATTGTTTTTGAATGGACATGTTCACACACTTCCGACACCGCTTCGTGACGTTACTAATACGGTACGGATACGGAACTGACACGTTACGGATATGTGTAAATAGACCTTAAATCGTATATGTTAGATTCTGAAGTCGTACCTTGTTTGAGAGTAAATTCGTGAATGGAAACAATGAAATTTCTCAGAATAAGTTTAAATATATAAATATAAATGTAAAGCAATGAATTTAGTCTGCATTACAAATAATTCATAAAGATAAAATTATATTAATCATTTGATGAAAGACCGATTATCTAATGAACTAAATGTTATTCTATATTTCTGATGTCAGACTAAAAACAGAGAAGCAGAAGAGTGTGTTTTCACTGTATTTAAAAAATGTTATTTCAGAAATATTCAAAGGAAAGAATTATTTTATTAGTTCATAATTTGAGTAATCAGAATGGAAATATCGAATATATAGCAGTAATGGTTAACCATCGGTTACTTGCTATAATTTCAATGTATTCTATTAATGAAAAACAAAAATAATCCAATATTCGTCAATAATTACTAAATATTGTAGGGTATAATTGGGAAATAATAGATTTTAGATTTGTTTCTTCTTTTCATAATCCTGACACAATTTGCGTGAAACAACAACTAAATTTTACGTGCTCGATCATCTTTCTTACGCTTGCTTTATTGCAGAGGATGCTACCAATCTTCATTAGTGGTATGTTAAGCACGGGTTCATAAATTGTAATGTCGAGATTTAAGGTGGGTGACACGGTTTAAGAATTACAACTTTTAAAATAATATCGATTTAGTCTTTATAATAATTGTAACATATACATGAAACGAATATTAACTATTCCACAGTGTATCTACTTTAGAAAAAAAACACAACATGTCAAATAAATTTGCACTGTTGCATTTTTGTGAGGTACATGAATACTATAAAAAACTGTATAGATCGCACTTGATCGTAGATAATATTTATACTCTAAACAAACCCAAATATTACGTTTAAACTCTACCTCTATGCTTTTCAACATTCAGCTATTATGTATATTCACCATTGGATAGTGCTATCTTTGGGAATAATAAATTAATTATAGAAGTACGACTTAGGGAACTCTTTTCTAAAAGTCTCGACCGCATGAAATTTTAATATTTTGGAAATATTTAATCGACCCCAAACGAATGAACTTCATGAACAAAACGGTACAACTATCTCGAAAACAACAAATTTCAATACTTACCGTTGTTGTTATACTTTTCGTTGACACTCTCAGGCCGCCACGTGACGCACAGCAGACTTCCCACAAGTTATCTAATCACGTCGCCGACATTCAGGAAGCATACGTTCCCATGGTGCTGCATTAACGTCCTGGCGATTCGTATTCATGGCAACATAGGTTCAACGGGTCACGTTAATAACGCGTGCGCCACGTATCAAAAATCACCTCGACGGATATATTCGAGTTCGGTTCGCGTTCCTGGCATCGTCTCGTAATTTTACTAACAGCCGAGGCAAACTTACAAACGTAAATTATACAGTTAATTCCCGTGTTATTGTTAATTAATTGATCGTTACATGGTTTATTTGCCTGAATTAGTTCACATTATGCGAATATTTAATATGCAATTTTCGCCGGCGCCGGCAAATCGCTTAAAACGCAATTTCGTCGAGCTAGCCAGGCGTAAATATTCATGTAATTTTGATGCACTCCATTTAATGCGGCACGATTAAAAATCATTCAACGGGACACATTTTCAGCGAGCGCGATAATTATGTGCTCCACCCCGAGAACAAACCGTCGCGGCCGAAATAAATATTATGGCGAAACAGTGGAGAGCCATCCTAATTGCCTCACCCCTTTCAACGGAGAAAGTTACCCTCACTTAAGAAAGATCGAGAGGGTGGGACGCGAACGAACTTGTAACTTAGCACCCCCAACGCCTAACCCGCCACCTAACCCACCACCAAAACTTCCTACGTTCGTAATTGTTGTAAAAGCTTTCGATCGTTATTATTGCTTGAACCGAAATTGACCGGGTGAGAAAGCTTCTGGTTGAACTTTGGGCGAGAACTGTACCCAGGAAGAATTCAAGCTCTGAATTTAAAGCAGAAAGGTAAGGATGTATTTGGAATGAAACGATGAAAAATTGAAGTATACATGGGATGGAGTCAATCTTGTTAACCCCTTCGAATCTGACGTATATGTGCTTGTGCATGAATTTTTAAGATCATATTTTGCCATGAAGAAATGAATAGTTTAAAGAAAATGTCACGTAGCTACAACTGATATCTGTTTTAACGTTTCGGGTGACAGTTGTCAAGGAATCATAACAAAGACTTCAGACTAAAGAGGCTTTAAAGTGAAATTTTTATTGTTAATAAAAGTATATCATTTCTTTACACAGAACTTTCATTCGTAATTTAAAAGATGCTATTTCACGGTTAAATGAAATTTTATATTTGAAGGAAAGCGATAAACTTCATTGCGCTAAGAGCCTGTGAATGTTTTATATCAAATTTTATATTTATTACACTTTACTCAAAATTTGCACTCATAATCGCAAACATACTAGTTTACGTTTAGATGATGTCTTAATTCGATGACATGTGCTCAAGCCTGAACAAATTGAAACACGTGAAAAATATAATTTCATCCAGAGATATATAGTCAGGTTCAAAAAATGTAAAGAAAGAAAGTAGATACGTATTTCGTATACAAATTAATTTTATAAAATATATTTAGAATAGAATTTATCGTATTATCCCTTTCGAACATTGTGTACATTGTAATCTATATGAACTTTAGAAAGTATTTGTATCCAGAAAATTACTATTCTAAAAATAAATGTCTGGTATCTAAAATTGATTCCAATTTAAATTTTGTCTGTGCCAACTGTCAATAAACCATGAGAGAAGCATTGTAGCAAGGACTTTTAAAGTAGTACTTTTATCGTGAACGAACAGTATTTACTTCTAACAAAAACTTTCTTTCTAAATTTAAAGGATGCTATATGACATTTGAACGAACTTTTACCTTAGAAATGAATCTATGACACTGAACGTTAAAAATCACTGTAATAATTATAATTCACACAAATATTGTTATTTTCCAATCCATTTACATTCGTCGAGGTCTAAATAAATTAGCACACGCGGAGAATAATTGCTGTACCCTAAGAAAAATAATTCAGTTCCAAAGGGGTTAAAGAGAAAGACTGAACACGTGATGAAACGAAGAAAAACAACAAAGTCAATATAAAGCACGACGATCAATATGTATCTTGAATCACCACATAAATTAATTTTTTTTTAATAAGTATCTTCGAAGTCATCGACATGGAATGAAAACAGTGGCCAATGAGAAAATAGCAAAAGCACCGCGTAAAAAAGTCCCGATTTAAAATCTACCGTCTAAGGAAAACGCAGACACGTCGCAGAGAATATGTACGTACAAAATTTACTTGAATTATCCCGCTGCACCGTTCCAATGGCAGTGAACTTTGTAAAACAAGACAGACAGGACGTGTACCACTGGCGCGCAGCGCTGACGCAAACGGGCGCCACGATGAAAATTATGTTTGCATAATTTTCAATTTCGACAGCGCCCCACGGCCGATCGAAGCGAATTGAAGAGACACCGTATGAAGATTCACGTGATTACGAAAAACTAACGGTCCGTTTGTGTTTCGAGCGATCGACGCAAACGTGGGCGAAAATCAACGTGGCCTGGCGAACACGTTATCCTTTTCTCTTTCTCTTTCGGCACTCACAATCAACACACTATCAACACGAACAGAGTAAATAAGAAACCTCGAGTGGTCTCAGAATTCATCGACGAACTCCGTAATTTCCATCGAGATTAAAGTATTCGTTTATTGCAATTCACTTTATCGATTTAAAAAAAGGAATAGAAATTGTTTCTTTCAAACTCTTTTCACACTAAGTTACACGTGAACGGTTTAACGTATTACAATTTATTTATTTATTTTAAATGTTGTCACGCACTTGAAGAATAAAACGCGATGCGAGGGAGTTCCTGGGCACAGGGTTTATCGCACACGAATCGAGTTCGATTGGTACCGTTGCTCGTGGCCCTCGATCCACCTTTCGGGTGCGGATCGTGGGAACGAAGGGCGTCGCGATGCGAATTGCACTGACTCTCGCAGATTCTCCGTTTCCCGCAGAAGCTTCGAAAGCCTCCCCCCACCCCCCACCCCCACCCCCCTCTCTGGTTGGCCTTGCTCAGCGGAGCTTCTATGCCCCTCTTTCGACGTTCGCCGTTAGCCACCCCGTCCGTTTGGCGCTTTCAGCGCAAGCGCCTCGGCTTTTGTGCGGACTCTGCCCTATCCTAATTCATATCCGCGTAAGTACGGTTACGTCCAGCCGGCGGGACAACGAAAATTTCTCGTTTCACCGCATCGTCTTGCGGTTTTCACGGATTACGAGCACCGAGGCTGTTTCACTTTTCCATGGTCCCGTTCTGCGAAATGCCTTCCAACAGTTTCCGATGGCAACTACGACGATTCTTTGTTTCCAGCTTTCTACATCTAGTAGTTTCCAGAATCTACACCTAAAACACTGATACGCATTTACCTAGTAAGGTCTCTAGTATCCTCCATTAGCAAGTATAGCTTGGCACCGTCTCGGCATGCTCTCTACTAATTTGTCAAAAATTATCTGGCGACGACTCACGAAAGTAGTGATTGTGATTGGAGCAATACAGTGTAGAGTGATGAATCTTCGTTTTAGGCTTGGTGTTCTATTAGACATGCTTGGTCTGTCCGTGGATAAAGAATAATACACAGAAGTGTGAAATACCCCGTAAAAGTGCATGTTTGGGATTGCTTTATCGCAAGAGGTTTCGGGACTTTATGTATCTTCACTCACATCCATGAAATGTTGGTTCAATCAAATCAAAGACCAGTGAATATTGCAAGAAGACAACGAGCCTAAACATCGAAGTCGCGTCTATAAAAGATGAAAAGAGGAAAATGTTATCATCATACTATGGTGATAACGATGGTATAATGTATGGTCCATAATGAAGTACAAACTAAGAGGAAGGCGTATCACCAAAATAAGAGCAATTGTATACCATATTCGAAAGATATGGAGGTCGTTTGCAGCATCTTACCCCGAAGAATTAATAGAATGCCGAGACGGTGCCAAGCTATAATTGCTAGTAGAGGAGATTGGACACCTTACCAGGTAAATGCGTATTAGTGTTTTAGGTGTAGATTCGACCCATATAAAATTTTGTACAAATATATAAACATTCACAGAAATATAGCCGACACGCTCGTATGAGACAGATTGTAGATGCTAATATTACGAGAAGTAGGTTCTAGATATTTGCTACCTTGTTGGTGTGAATTTATGAGGAATGTGTCTGAAAATTTCTTTACATCAATGCCACTGTACCAAAATCAACGGCGACTACAAATGTACAATGTATGTGTCAATTCGTGTGCATCAATGTTACTCTATCAGAATCGACTTCACGCCCAAATAAGAATTTTTTTTTTCAAGCTGAATTATTTTTTGTTAAAATTTTACATTTTCCTTAATGAATAAATCAAGATTAAAGAAGTTTAATAATCATCAATGTCAACAATGCTATGTAAATTTTATTAGATAGTATTATCAGATTGTAGTCGTTTGCTATCCAGGTGATATAGATTTGTGAACAATATGTCTATTATTTTGTATGCATCGATGTTAATCTATCAGAGTCAATGACACCCACAAATATAAGTTCTGAACACTTTCTATTCGTAATTATATTACATTTTAATTGTACATTCTTTTTAATATAGGAACCATTATTCAACAATGATCAATAACCATCAATGCCAACAATGGCATGCAACTTTTGTTAAATAAGTATGACCGAGTTTTAGTTCTTTGTTACCATTATTTGTAGTTACAATCGTAGATTTTTCTGAACGAACGAACCAAGATTAAAGAACTTTTAATCATCTTTAATGCCTATAATGCTTTGTAGCATATAGATGTGAGTTGTGTGTATTCTTCCAAATTGGATTGTTTACAGTTACAATATAGGAATCAAGATTAAAGAATTTTTAATGACAATTGAAACCAACACTACTTCGACCATTTTATTAGTCGACGCCACGATCGTTAAAGATTCTTCAACTTTATCGAGCTAAAAGCTAACATACTCCTCGATAAATAAAAAATTATGAAAGCAGCAACTGGTGAAAGATTTTTAGAAAGTGATTCTAGGAATTTTGACAAGTTTTAGCTCTATTTTAAGCGATGGTACAAAATATTGATTCATGAATTAGTGAACCAACAAAAACAATCGTCCAACGTTTCAATTTTTTACTCCTTTTTATGGATCTATGTATATTTATGCAGCATGCATTTGTCCTTGTTTTCTTAACGGAGCAATGCTTTGAAATGATATAGCAGTATTGCCCGACAACCCAGCACCATTTATCGGTGATAGAACAGTTCCACGTGTAGGTTGTTCCATCGATCAACTCTCCGCTCACAACAAAACGGAGAAACCTCCATAAAATTAAATGCTTGCTCTTTGCAGATTTACAATTTACATGGTAGCTATGCCTTTTTCCTGCACGAAATCTTTGCTACTAAAACTTACAAGGGTTAATTAACAGCGCTGTCTTCTCTCTATAGTAAATATCTACGTAAAATCTTTACGTTATCCTTGAACACAACCACACGGATTTGACCAGATAAAAAGAGGTGCATCTGGTGCGAAAGTACGAGCCAGAAAAATCTGATCGTTAAATTGATAAATCGAGCGTAATCTGTGCATCATCCACAGTCTTGTAAGCAGGCACCACTAATGAAGCATCCCCGCGAGATCGGGGCGAATTCACGCTACATTTTTCACTTATCGATAACGGAGGATGATTAAAACTTCGCATCGCCGTGAGTAACGCTGGCAATATGAATACGTTTAAGCCACGAACCTGGTAGAGAATTAAAATTACCCTGGAGAATGCTCACGCAGCAACTCAAGTTCCCTCTTCTCGCCTCAACTGTTATTTCCAGGCTAGAGTTAACCTCTTTCCGAGACTTGGACACTTGTGTCTTGTTTGCTTCCAGTAACAAAGTGTATAAGGGTAGCTGATGAGTGGATAAATATACTTTCTTCGGTTTCAAAAAGGACCGGAGTATTCAAGGATTTTGTTACTAAAGTTTTGATATTCGATACTTTTTTTTATCTTCTTAATGGACTATAATAACCACGTTATCTATTGCACATTTTTCTGCTATTTTTGATAGCATCATTTGGAAATGAATTTAAATAATTTAAATACATACTTAGCGCGTAGGAAAGAGAACGATGATTTATACTCAGATTGTTTAGCAGATTGTGATAATAACAGTGCCGAAACAACAGCTACTGATGAATACAGCAGAAATGGTATCAATGTTACAGATTTAGATCAATCCCTTTAAATAAATATTGCAATTTTATTGAATACAACAAAATAAAACTATTTAATGGTAATAGAAATGTGCAATTATTACATAATTTCGATAGTTTTTTCTTCATAAATAGTTTTAATGTTAGTTAACATAAGATCGCTCCAAAATTGCCAGCCAATAAAGCGGTACTAGTTTTACGAATAATGATGCAAAACTAATTTGTCGAAATACTTTTCAAACAACTTGATTAGACTTCTCTAGAAAAACCTTAAAGATTGGAAGAATAACATAGGAATTCTCTTTTCTTTTTCTTTCGATGTATCAACGTGTATTTGACTACATTTACTTGTAATTATCCACTAGTTTTTAAACGTTGCACTGGACATGGTTACCCAAGTAGGATACTACTTATATTTTTGCCCGAAAAGGGTTGCATAGCCGAGCTAAAGCGTTACACGGTGTTTACCTTGGATAAATAGGAGTATGCACAAGAATTAGTTTCTTCTTCTTATCTCGAACATTCTTATTAATTACGAACGAAAAGATTGTTCATTTACCAAATAATCCTGGACATTTATCAACTACTTGTTGCTACAATTAGCAACTACCTATCCATGCATGGTTTCCTTCTTTCTCAACATTATCCATCCACCTGCAAGGGTGAGTCAACATTGACTCATACTATTATTACTATCATAAACAATTAATAATCGAGAGCTTCTCCTACTAATCTACAAGACTTTAGAAACAATACAACTCTTAATGGAAACATCTGTAAACTAGGTCTTAAGGAACCAGAAATGCGTAAATATATACTCTGGAAATGGCGGCAAAGTTATAACAAGCAAATGTAAATTTCGAAACATTATTGTTACTAAAACTCACCTGATTGAAATATTAAACAAAAACAACGAATTTTATTAATCACATCATTTCGAAGTTAACACTTTTGCTTCATACCGCTAGGGTTTGCACACTCTGTAAAATAAAAGACTAAAACATAACATATGCAGTAAAAAACTTTCGTTGCCAGACAGGTCCAAAATTGGCCAATTTTTACCATTGTCCTTGAGCAATACTCTTCACAGTACAACACATATTTCTAACAACCAACACACCGCCTCATTGACATGAATTTTGTATAAAAGATTCTGAATACAATCCGAAACAGTTAACCTCGTAAAGAGTTCCATTAATCCATTCCCTGCCAGGCCAAAAAGCGTTTTGCATTGAGCGCCGACATTTAATACAGATGTGTAATCCAGATTACTATTTTGATAATAAAAAGTGATATTAAATTGTTGCTTTAAAAAGAAAATTTACGATATTCTTTCGCAATAATTCGTGACTCAACAAGTTATAAGCTTATCCCTTCAGTAATTGCAATCACTTTGAACTACGAAATATCTCATAGTTGGCAGTGAATAAGTTAAACTAGGATTACTTTTAACAAATGATGAGGTTGAAGAGGTCAACATGGGAGTGATATGTTGTCGGTGTTTGGAACTGAATAACAAAATCCATGTTGCAATGGCTAATAGGAAGGCGAGAATTTCGACTGTGGGTATTTACATACTCCTCCGATTCTCTCGCTGCTCTGCTTTCGCATCTTTTTCCCAAGCGTATGCGCGCCGCTTGATACGCGTTTGTTCATTCCTTCGCCCTCTCGCGCTCCCTTCCTACGTTTCACGCCCACCCTTCCAGCATCCAGCCTTTGTTTCATC